GGATGATAACTCAGACCAGTGCTTCATCTGAGGAAGATAACTCAGGCCAGTACGTCATCTGAGGATGATCTGAGAATGATAACTCAGACCAGTGATTCATCTGAGGATAACTCAGACCAGTGCTTCCTCTGCGGATGATAACTCAGACCGGTGCTTCATCTGAGGACGATAACTCAGACCAGTGCTTCATCTGAGGATGATAACTCAGACCAATGCTTCATCTGAGGATGATAACTCAGACCAGTGCTTCATCTGAGGATGATAACTCAGATCAGTGCTTCATCTGAAGATAACTCAGACCAGTGCTTCATCTGGAATGATAACTCAGACCATGATTCTCTGGGATAATGACCAGTGCTCTTGCGGATGATAACTCAGACGGTGCTTCATCTGAGGACGATAATCAGACCAGTGCTTCATCTGAGGAAGATAACTCAGCCAGTAGCTATCTGAGGATGTAACTCAGACCATCGCTTCATCTGAGGATGATAACTCAGACCAGTGCTTCATCTGAGGATGATAACTCAGACCAGTGCTTCATCTGAGGATGATAACTCAGACCGGTACTTCATCTGAAGTGAAACCAGACCAGTGCTTCATCGGATGTTAACTCAGACGGATTCATGAGATGGAAACTCAGACAAGTGCTTCATCTGATGATGATAACTCAGAGCAGTGCTTCATCTGAGGAATGATAACTCATACGTGCTTCATTGGGATATGACCATGCTCATCTGAGAATGATAACTCAGACCAGTGCTTCAACTGAATGATAACTCAGACCAATGCTTCATCTGAGGATGATAACTCAGACCGGCTTCCATCTGAGGATACTCAGACAAGCTTCGTCTACGATGATAACTCAACCTGTGCTTCATGTGAGGATGATAACTCAGACCAGTGCTTCATGTGAGGATGATAACTCAGACAAGTGCTTCATCTGAGGATGATAACTCAGTACCAAGTGCTTCTGTTGAGGTGAATAACTCAGACCGGTGCTTCATCTGAGGATAACAACTCAGAGCGGTGCTTCATCTGAGGATAATAACTCAGACCAGTTCTTCGTCTGAGGATGATAACTCAGACCAGTGGTTCATCTGATGATGATAACTCAGATCAAATGCGTCTCTGAGGAATAACTCAGACCAGTGCTTCGCTGAGGATGATAACTCAGACTGGTGCTTCGTCTGAGGATGATAACTCAGACCAGTGCTTCATCTGAGGATGATAACTCAGAATGGTGCTTCATCTGAAGATGGTAACTCAGACCAGTGCTTCATATGAGGATGATAACTCAGACCATGCTTCATCTGATGATGATACCTCAGCCCATGCTTCATCTGAGGATAACTCAGACCACCCTTTTCATCTGAGGAACTCAGACCAGTCTTCATCTGAGGATAACTCAGGCCATTGCTTCGTCTGGCGATGATAACTCACACCTGTGCTTCATGGGGGAAGGGATAACTCAGACCATGCTTCATGTTAGGATAACTCAGACCGTGCTCATATGGGATGATAGCTCAGCCCCAGTGCTTCGTGTGAGGATAATAACTCAGACCGGTGCTTCTTCTGAGGATGATAACTCAGATCAGTGCTTCAATTGAGGAAATAACTCGACCGTCTTGTCTGAGGATGAAACTCAGACCGGGGGTTCATCTGAGGATGATAACTCAGATCAGTGCTTCATCTGAGGATGATAACTCAGACCAGTGCTTCCTGAGGATGTTAACTCAGCCGGTGCTTCATTGAGGACGATAACTCAGACCAGTGCTTCATCCGGGGTGATAACTCGATCCAGTGTTCATCTGAGGATAACTCAGAGCAGTGCTTCATCTGAGGATGTTTAATCAGGCCGGTGCTTCAGTGAGGTTTGATAACTCGGGACCAGTGCTATCTGGGGGTGATACAGACATCTTCATCTGGGATGGTAACTCAGACCAGTGCTTCATCTGAGGATGATAACTCAGACCAGTGCTTCATCTGAGGTTAACTCACACAAATGCTTCATCTGAGTATGATAACTCAGACCGGTGCTTCATCTGAGGATGATAACTCAGACCAGTGCTTAATCTGAGGATGATAACTCAGACCGGTGCTTCATCTGAGGATGATAACTCAGACAAGTGCTTCATCTGAGGATGATAACTCGGGGCCCGGTACTTCTTTCTGAGGATGATAGCTCAGACTGGTGCTTCATATGAAGATGGTAACTCAGACCAGTGCTTCATATGAGGATGATAACTCAGAGCAGTGCTTCATCTGATGATGTTAACTCAGACCAGCCTTCATTGAGGATTGAAACTCAGACCGGTTGCTTCATTGAGGATAACTCAGACCAGTGCTTCATCTGAGAATGATAACTCGGGCCCAGGGGCTTCAACTAGGATAACTCAGACCAATGCTTCATCTGGGATGATAACTCAGCCCGGGTTTGCTTCATCTGAGGGATAACTCGACCAGTCCTTAATCTCAGGATATCTCAGAATTGCTTCGTCTGACGATGATAACTCAGACCTGTGCTTCATGTGAGGATGATAACTCAGACCAGTGCTTCATCTGAGGACGATAGCTCAGACCAGTGCTTCGTGTGAGGATGATAACTAAAGGGGACCGGTGCTTCATTGAGGATGATAACTCAGACCATTCTTCGTCTGAGGAAGATAAACTCAGATCGGTGGTTCTTTCTGAGGATGATAACTCAGACCAGTGCTTCATCTGAGGACGATAACTCAGACCAGTGCTTCGCCTGAGGATGATAACTCAGACTGGTGCTTCGTCTGAGGATGATAATTCAGACCAGTGCTTCGTCTGCGGATGATAACTCAGACCGGTGCTTCATCTGAGGACGATAACTCAGACCAGTGCTTTATCTGAGGGTGGTAACTCAGACCAGTACTTCATCTGAGGATAACTCAGACCAGTGCTTCATCTGAGGATGATAACTCAGACCAGTGCTTCGCCTGAGGATGATAACTCAGACTGGTGCTTCGTCTGAGGATGATAATTCAGACCAGTGCTTCGTCTGAGGATGATAACTCAGACCAGTGCTTCATCTGAGGATAACTCAGACCAGTGCTTCGCCTGAGGATGATAACTCAGACTTGTGCTTCGTTCTGAGGATGAAAATTCCCAGACCAGTGCTTCATCTGGGATGATAACTCAGCCAGTGCCTCATTGAGGGTGATAACCCAGACCAGTCCTTCATCTGGGGGATGATAACTCAAACCAGTGCTTCATTGAGGATGAAAACTCAGACCAGTGCTTCATCTGAGGATGATAACTCAGACTAGTGCCCCATCTGAGGATAACTCAGACCAGTGCTTCATCTGAGGATGATAACTCAGACCAATGCTTCATCTGAGGATGATAACTCAGACCAGTGCTTCATCTGAGGATGATAACTCAGACCGGTGCTTCATCTGAGGGATGATAACTCAGACCATGCTTCATCTGGGATGAAAACTCAGACCGGTTGCTTCATCTGAGGACGATAACTCAGACCAGTGCTTCATCTGATGATAACTCAGACCGGTACTTCATCTGAGGATAACTTAGACCGGTGCTTCATATGAAGATGGTAACTCAGACCAGTGCTTCATATGAGGTTTGATAAACTCAGACCATTTGCTTCATCTGTGATAGTAACTCAGAGCAGTGCTTCATATGAGGATGATAACTCAGACCAGTGCTTCATCTGAGGATGATAACTCAGAGCAGTGCTTCATATGAGGATGATAACTCAGAGCAGTGCTTCATCTGATGATAACTCAGACCAGTGCTTTATCTGAGGATAACTCAGACCGGTGCTTCATCTGAGGATGATAACTCAGACCATTGCTTCATCTGAGAATGATAACTCAGACCGGTGCTTCAACTGAGGATAACTCAGACCAATGCTTCATCTGAGGATAATTACTCAGACCGGTGCTTCATCTGAGGATAACTAACACCAGTCCTTCATCTGAGGATAACTCAGACCATTGCTTCGTCTGACGATGATAACTCAGACCTGTGCTTCATATGAGGATGACAACTCAGACCAGTGCTTCATGTGAGGATGATAACTCAGACCGGTGCTTCTTCTGAGGATAACTCAGACCATTGCTTCGTCTGACGATGATAACTCAGACCTGTGCTTCATCTGAGGATGACAACTCAGACCGGTGCTTCATCTGAGGATGATAACTCCGATCAGTGCTTCATCTGAGTATGATAACTCAGACCAGTTCTTTGTCTGAGGATGATAACTCAGACCGGTGGTTCATCTGAGGATGATAACTCAGATCAGTGTTTCATCTGAGGATGATAACTCAGACCACTGCTTCGCCTGAGGATAACTCAGACTGGTGCTTCGTCTGAGGATGATAATTCAGACCAGTGCTTCGTCTGAGGATGATAACTCAGACCGGTGCTTCATCTGAGGACGATAACTCAGACCAGTGCTTCATCTGAGGGTGATAACTCAGACCAGTACTTCATCTGAGGATAACTCAGACCAGTGCTTCATCTGAGAATGATAACTCAGACCGGTGCTTCATCTGAGGATGATAACTCAGACCAGTGCTTCATGTGAGGATGATAACTCAGACCAGTGCTTCATCTGAGGATGATAACTCAGACCGGTGCTTCAGACATCTGAGGTTAACAACTCAATGTCACTACTAACTCCTGCCGTCCAAGGAAAGTTGTCTTGATAAGGGTGAAGGGTTCCTGATACAAGGAGCTGGTGTTGTTTTTACCTTCCTCTAATCAAACGTGATTTTCCCTCCCCTATTATCTAGGTATTCGAGACCTCCGACGAATTTAGCGCTTTTCTTATGAATATAATACGGTAACTTATATGACAGGACAGTGCTAATGAGAGCCAGGTGACAGCATATCAGAGTTACAGCGAGAATAACAATTTGTTATAGGTAAGATGTGGTTGGAGTGCCCATTGTGGCCAGGACAATGTGGTGTGGCCAGCCTGGGTGTGGGTGAGGGTGGCCCAGCAGGGCAAGAGTCGGCTCAGTGGCAGTTTGGCAGTGGTTGTAACAGGGTTGGATTTCTGCTGCTCGGCTAGGTGAGTGTGGCGCCTGGGAGTGTCGTCCTCAACACAACAGTGTAATACTCAGTGTTCTTCCTCAGGCGATTACCACGACAGCAACTGCTAAATACACCCTCCCCTGGCTGTCATTCAAGTGTATTCACTCGGAGGACTGTAGTGTTTGTGAGTATCTGAATCACTGTTGTGTCCACGAGTACTGGTGGTATTTTGCTGTATGGAGGACTAGAGCGAAATGACAGTTGACTAGTGTGATGTGTGCGTGTGTGTGTATGTGTATGAATGCGCGTGTGCGTGTGTGCAACAATGTGTGTTGGGGCCGGTGACAGTGTTGTGGGGGGAGAGAAGGGGAAACCCGGGAGCCAGCCAGGAATGTTAGCCACACTCAAAATAAGAACGCGGGTCCTTCCTGCCTTGAGAGGCTCTGCTGCTGTTGCTGCTGCTGCCGCTGCTTCTGCTATCGTTGTTGTTGCTGCGGCTCTGCTCCTCCTGTTGTTAGTACTGCTGTTGCTGCATCCTCACACTTCCGTCAACACCTGCCGGTCTTGCTCCTGCTGCTGCCGAGACTTCCGCAAACACTATCTGTTTTTCCTTGATCATAAGACACTCCTTATGTTATTGTTTCTGTTGCTGCTGGCGCTGTTGCCGCTGTTACTGATATTACTACTATTGATGTGTCAGCTTATGATGCTGTTGGTGCTGTTAATACTACTGGTGCTGATGTTAAACCAGCTTCTACTGCTGCTGATGAAGCCTGGCATTTCCGTCGCTTACTGACCTTCCTGGCATCAGACACGGTGCCATTGTCTATCCAAGATTATCATCGTCTATCCATCACTGTCCCACTCTATCCGCGACCGTGTTATTAATTATTACATACTCAGATTACGGTTACAACTGTCCCATATCTTGTCAGTCTTGTCAGTGCTATATACTTGACCTTACTTCCGCTATGAGAGTGGCACAGAGTCGTCTTGAGTTACCTCAGCCTCGCTGTGATACTCTTGGCTATTTCTGTACCAGCGGCTGACATATTTCCTACGTTTTCACGGCTAACTGAGAATTTTGCTATAAGCTGGGAGAGCGCGTGTGGAAAACGTGGTGAGAGTCATGGGCATCGTGGTTGATGTTGAGAGTCATGGGCAGCGTGGTTGATGTTGAGAGTCATGGGCAGCATGGTTGATGTTGAGAGTCATGGGCATCGTGGTTGATGTTGAGAGTCATGGGCAGCGCGGTTGATGTTGAGAGTCATGCGCAGCATGGTTGATGTTGAGTCATGGGTAGCGTGGTTGATGTTGACAGTCACGGGCAGCATGGTTGATGTTGAGAGTCATGGGCAGCGTGGTTGATGTTGAGAGTCATGGGCATCGGGGTTAATGCTGAGAGTCATGGGCAGCGCGGTTGATGTTGAGTCATGGGCAGCGTGGTTGATGTTGAGAGTCATGGGCAGCATGGTTGATGTTGAGAGTCATGGGCAGCGTGGTTGATGTTGAGAGTCATGGGCAGCTTGGTTGATGTTGAGTCATGGGCAGCGTGGTTGATGTTGAGAGTCATGGGCAACGTAGTAAATGCTGAGAGTCATGGGCAGCGTGGTTGATGCTGAGAGTCATGGGCAGTATGGTTGATGTTGAGAGTCATGGACATCGTGGTTGATGTTGAGAGTCAAGGGGAGCGTGGTTGATGTTGAGTGTCATGGGCAACGTGGTTGATGTTGAGAGTCATGGGTAGCATGGCTGATGTTGAGAGTCATGGGCAGCATGGTTGATGTTGAGAGGCATGGGCAGCGTGGTTGATGCTGAGAGTCATTGGCAGCGTGATTGATGTTGAGAGTCATGGGCAGCGTGGTTGAAGCTGAGAGTCATGGGCAGCGTGGTTGATGCTGAGAGTCATAGGTAGCATGGTTGATGTTGAGAGTCATGGGCAGCGTGGTTGACAGTGAGAGTCATAGGCAGCGTGGGTGATGTTGAGAGTCATGGGCAGCATGGTTGACGCTGAGAGTCATAGGCAGCATGGTTGATGTTGAGAGTCATGGGCAGCATGGTTGATGCTGAGAGTCATAGGCAGCGTGGTTGATGTTGAGAGTCATGGGCAGCGTGGTTGACGCTGAGAGTCATAGGCAGCGTGGTTGATGTTGAGAGTCATGGGCAGCGTGGTTGATGATGAGAGTCATGGGCAGCATGGTTGATGTTGAGAATCATTTGCAGCATGGTTAATGCTGAGAGTCATGGGCAGCGTGGTTGATGCAGAGAGTCATAGGCAGTATGGTTGATGTTGAGAGTCATGGGCAGCGTGGTTGATGGTGAGTCATGGGCAGCATGGTTGATGCTGAGAGTCATAGGCAGCATGGTTGATGTTGAGAGTCATGGGCAGCGTGGTTGATGGTGAGAGTCATGGGCAGCGTGGTTGATGTTGAGAGTAATGGGCAGCGTGGATGACGTTGAGAGTCATGGGCAGCGTGGTTGATGTTGAGAGTCATGGGCAGCGTGGTTGATGTTAAGAGTCATGGGCAGCGTGGTTGATGTTGAGAGTCATGGGCAGCATGGTTGATGTTGAGAGTCATGGGCAGCGTGGTTGATGTTGAGAGTAATGGGCAGCGTGGTTGATGTTGAGAGTAATGGGCAGCATGGTTGATGTTGAGAGTCATGGGCAGCGTGGTTGATGTTGAAAGTCATGGGCAGCGTGGTTGATGTTGAGAGTCATGGGCAGCGTGGTTGATGTTGAGAGTCATGGGCAGCGTGGTTGATATTAAGAGTCATGGGCAGCGTGGTTGATGTTGAGAGTCATGGGCAGCGTGGTTGATGTTGAGAGTCATGGGCAGCGTGGTTGATGTTGAGAGTCATGGGCAGCGTTCTTGATGTTGAGAGCCATGGGCAGCGTGGTTGATGTTTTAGAGTCATGGGCAGCGTGGTGATTTTTGAGAGTCATGGGCAGCGTGGTTGATGTTGAGAGTCATGAGCAGCGTGGTTGATGCTGAGAATCATGGGCAGCGTGGTTGATGTTGAGAGTCATGAGCAGCGTGGTTGATGCTGAGAATCATGGGCAGCGTGGTTGATGTTGAGAGTCATGAGCAGCGTGGTTGATGCTGAGAATCATGGGCAGCGTGGTTGATGTTGAGAGTCATGAGCAGCGTGGTTGATGCTGAGAATCATGGGCAGCATGGTTGATGTTGAGAGTCATGAGCAGCGTGGTTGATGCTGAGAATCATGGGCAGCGTGGTTGATGCTGAGAATCATGGGCAGCGTGGTTGATGTTGAGAGTCATGAGCAGCGTGGTTGATGCTGAGAATCATGGGCAGCGTGGTTGATGCCCCAGAATCATGGGCAGCGTGGTTGATGCTGAGAATCATGAGCAGCGTGGTTGATGCTGAGAATCATGGGCAGCGTGGTTGATGCTGAGAATCATGGGCAGCGTGGTTGATGCTGAGAATCATGAGCAGCGTGGTTGATGCTGAGAATCATGGGCAGCGTGGTTGATGCTGAGAATCATGAGCAGCGTGGTTGATGCTGAGAATCATGGGCAGCGTGGTTGATGCTGAGAATCATGAGCAGCGTGGTTGATGCTGAGAATCATGGGCAGCGTGATTGATGCTGAGAATCATGGGCAGCGTGGTTGATGCTGAGATCATGAGCAGCGGTGGTTGATGCTGAGATCATGGGCAGCGTGGTTGAGGGTGAGAATCATGGGCAGCGTGGTTGATGCTGAGAATCATGCAGCGTGGTTGATGCGGGATGCATGGGGCATGGCGTGGTGTATGCAGGGAATCATGGGCGCGGGGTTGGGAGTTGCTGGGAATGCAGGGGGGGTGGTGGTGTGGTCTGGGGCTGCGGGGGTGGGCTGCTGCGATCTGGTGGGTTTGGGTTATGGTGTATAGGGGGCCGGTGTGGGGGTGGATTTGGTTCGTGGTTGGGTTTATCAGTAATAAGAGTAGTAACTAACCAAGTAATACATAACCATCATAAAACTATATAATCCTAACGTAAAATAAAACTAGTAGTAGTAGTAGTAATAGTGGTAATATAGTCACGTAATAATACAGACATAATAGTACATATACCACATAATAAAAAGTACATGTAGTCAATAATCGTACTAATACAGTAACAACACATACATATATACATATAGACAATACACATACAATAATACGTCAACTAATATATACCACATCAGCTAGATAGCTATAATAATAGTAAGACATAATCATAACACATAAATAAATAATAAAATAGTAATAACAGTACCCATAAACATACACACACTACATAGTAGCCAATAGCTAGTAATAACTAGTAGTAACTAATACACATACACCATACTACACAATAATACGTAATAATAGACAATAGTAGTACATAGTAGTACAACTAGTAGTATAATATAAACCAGTAGAATAACACCACTATCAACCACTATAAACCATACACACATACACACACTACACACATACCACATATAACATAGCACAATACACCACATACACACATAACAAGTACACAACTAACATCGTACCAACTAACAACGTATACAATAGTAAACATACACACTAACTACATATCACAATATAATAGTAGTAACAAACTAGTAGTACACATACACACTACATACATAGTAGAAAATGTAATAATACATAGTACATAATAATGTATAATAAAAATAGTAATAAAAAATTATTAATAAATATAGAAATTTAATAAAAATTAAAAATTTGTTATAATGTAAAATATAGTTAATAATAGTAATAAAAATAGTATAATATATAGTAAAATAATAGTAATAAAAAGGTTTTTAAATAATATAGAAAAATAAAAATTATAAAAATAGTAGTAAAAATTTAATAATAAGAATAATAATAATGTAATAATAATAGTAAAATAATGTATAATAATATAGTAATATAAAATATAATAATAATAGTAAATAATAGTATAATATGTAGTAATAATATAAGTAATAATAATAGTAATAATATAGTAAAAAATTAACACTAATCGTAAAAATAATCTAGTAATAATTGCGAAAAATAATAGTAAAATGTATAAAAGTAGTAATAATAATAGTAAATATATAAATAATAAATAGTAATAAAAATAATAATAATAATCAAAAATAAAATAAAATAAATAGTATCAATAATAGTAGTAATAATACTAGTAATAATATAGTAA